TCAAACTCTTCTTTATTACTAAATTTGATCTCAACAATCATATTATAATATCTGGCAATAATCATATTATAACAATAGTAATTTCTATAATATAAAATATATATATATAAATTAAATAAAATATTATGTTAGTTTAAGATTTATCTAATTAATTAAAAAAAGTTATTTTGATTCAAAATATTTCTTTAATTTTTTTTTTAAAAAAAGTTTTTTAATTTTTAAATTATTTAAAATATTTTTTTCAATGTTTTTTTGTAAAATATTTCTTAAACTATAATTTTATATTTGATTTTTACAAAGATAATATAATATAAAATTTATGGCAATAGTAATATAATAATATATGTTATAAATATTAATCTGCTAATAAATATACTATATATATATTATAAAAATTTTAATTTGAAAAAATTATAGAAATAACTATTTACTAACTATTTATTATATTAAAATTAGTGCCTTTTTAATAATTTGATTTTTTGTTCAGATTTGATAAAAATAGATTTTTATTAATAAAATACAATTAAAAAAAATATTTGAAAAAAAATAATAAAATTGAAAATATAATTATTATTAATTTGATTTGTTAATATTGTAATAGGAAATTTTTTTTAATAGATTGAATATAATTATTTTTATAGTTGTTTTTTTATTGTAATATGATTTCAAGAATTTTTTTATATAGAATATTTCTGGATTTTCATACATTATTATATATTAGTTCAAGGAATTTGTTAGATATTTGAATATATTTGAAGATTGAGAAAGATTTTTTGTTTGTATTATGATTAATAAAGAATTTTTTATTCAATTTTAATTGATTCATTTAATAAATAAATATATATAGTATATATGTAATTTTAAATAAAATTTTTAATTAAAATATCTATAGAAATTTTATTTCAATTTAAGATTATAATAATTTTAATGTAAATTTATTTTAAATTATCTTGATTTTTTTTTGATTTGTTAATAAACTGGTTTCTTTTATTATTAAATATATAGTATTTTTATTTATTTTTTCTATAGTTAAGCAAGTATATATTGTTTTTTAAATCTTTATAGAAAACATATAATATATTTTATTGCACAAACTATTTTACTATCTTTAATATTTGTCTCAGACTATGTCTTTATATGTGACTTTGAAAACAGAAAAATTCTTTCTTTAATATTTATTTACTTATAGAATTTTAAGTTAAAGATTATTGCCTGCAATTTATCATTATGGTTCATCTGAACAAAATCTAAACAATTTTTTATAATTACAACCATTTCTTTCTTTAATTTACTTTTGAATTGAATTCTTGTTTGAACTTGAATCAAATTTAACTCTTTTTAGCATCTTCATGAAAACATTCCACAGATAATATGGTTCAAACAATGTTTTGATTTTGAATTGTTTAATATTCTTTTGCAGTATCAAAAGTGAGCTGAATGCATCACTTATGCTGAAGCAAAACAAGAATATGTTTGTCAAAGAAACTTCAAGTGAAATATATTTTAGACGAAAACAAAATTCTATGAGGCTTATTATTCTATTGTAGGAGATGGAGTGTGTTCAAAAAAACGTTCTGATTTTGTTATTGATCCAGACACACAAAGTTGTACTGAAAGTAGATGAGTATCAACACAAGAAAAGGGAATATAACTAATTTAAAAAGGATGTGAGACATTGCGCAAGCACTTAGTATCCCTACTCTCTTTATTCGTTATAAACCTGATAGTTACATGTTCAACGAGATTACAAAGGATAGTGATGATATATAGAGAAAACAATAATTATTAGTTTGCTTAACCGATGGAATAAAATCGCCACCTGCTGATGAATCCCAATTCTTTGAGTTTTCTACCTTTTCTATTATGGATACGCTAACACTAAGTATAAGATAACGACTATACCAGAAGTTTGGTTCAAGAATGAAGTACATGGAAAAGCAGATAAGGCGATATGAGTATATATAATAACTATTGTGAAAATTGACCAAATTGACCCAACATTTTGTTTCCATCATGTGTTCCGTATTTCTGTGATAAAATAAATTTTTTAAAACATTAGTTATATCTTTCTTTAACTGTGTACAAGTATTGTGCGATGTTATTTGCTACTCATTCGATTTTCTACGGATAAAATATCATCCTAAAAAAGTTCCAAATATGGAACGACAGAATTTAGATGCAAGTTGAAATGAAATAGCGAAAAACTTTATTCAGACAAAGAATTTTAAAAACAATATAAATGAAATTATGTACCAATTTTTTTAAGCTAAAATTTTTAATACACATTCCATTTAATAATTTATTTTTGTGGAGTGCGATTTGTGTTCAGTTCCGCTTCAGTTTCGGGTGCAATTCGACGTCGTTTCCCCTTGGTATTTTCTGAAAAAAGTTCTTTCACGACCTTTTCAGTCTCAAGAGACTTACTCTATACATTTGATCCATAAGTATTATAAATCACCATTAAAAAAAACCAATAGAAAATCACCTCAAGCGATTTAAGGACGCAATATGCGTCTTCCAAATTGCCACAATCATCTTCATCAACCGGTATTCTACACCAGTCTATTAACCCAAATCTGTATATACCGTTCCCTTGCCAGTCCATCGCGTAAAAATTTAATTCTAATCCTTAAATGAAATCTGTTAGCAAGGAATTTTCTAAAACTTTCTCATGTTGAAATTACCCGCTTGTAACCAGCCATAGATTATTATGTTCCTTTGGCTTTCATCTGTAACGTGCTTACATTCTTTTAACAGACGATTTATTCCATCACGCATAATTATCATCAATTTAATTTTGTGCAAAAATCGCTTCTTACGACATGCAGAAGGAATTCCGAATGGCCCCAGTCCCCCTGCAACCTCACCATAAATTACTTCAAATTTGTTTAATGTTTTGATTAAGGTTGCTTTCATGTCAACTTTCCTACTCATCCGGGCTTTTTTGAATGGGTCAACATTTTCATTACGTGCGTCACTAGTTGAAAGAGTTTGAACCTCTCCCCTACATGCAGAAAAATGTCAGTTCCACATTCAGTATTTTACTAAATGCAAACAAATAACCTACCAGACATCTTTAATATTATTCGACGTAAATGTTCCATGAATCAGCGGAAACGAAGTAGTCATTTTTAACTGTTCTTCGGTGAGCATACCTTGGAACGAATGCATGTTAACTTTCCTGTGCAGTAATACAGAGGGTCAGAATATAATGCCAATAATTACAAGTCATAACTTAACACTTACATAAATTGAACATATGCATCAAATTTTTTAAGATCTTGATTGTTATGATTGCTATCAACATAATCGCAATTTCCATCAAAATATTTCTGAAAATTTCTTGGGGCAGGCTCGCATTTCCACTCTATATGGTCGGCAAAATCCTGCGATAATTGATGTACGTCATCTTCGGTAATTTCTTTACACCCAAATAAACCTTCCTTAGTTAGATCTAGTACGTCCCAATATGCGGGGCTATGGAGAGGCAAAACAAAACTCAATGATAATCTGGCAATGATTGTTGCTCCAAAAGACAAAACTTACGTAAATACTCTACGAATTTTGGGAATTTTTTTTTGGTATGTTCGGAAAGCATACAACACATCTGCACGAATTTTTGGTGGATACTATCGAGGAAAAGATAATGACTCTACTAATAATGTACTGGCCAATTATGATATTAAAATTTACCTTGTTACCACATGCAGGTGGCAATTTATCCTCGTCTTCAAGAGTTTTTTCGTCAATATTTTCCACAATGGCATCTTCATTGGACTCATCAAGCAAATATTTAAGTTCTTCACAATAATCTGATTGGTCGTCATCTAATTTCCTTTTGTCTTTATTCTTCTATTATATTGTGATATATTGTTGGATGAATGATGTGTATAACTATGACTATAAAATGCTAAATGCTAGAGATGAAAGATTATTATGAACCTCCAAGAAATTTCTACTAGTTTCGCCCTGATCCTTATCACTGTTATTTACCTGTGAACTTCCAACGATTGATATTACTTCATTTGTCAAAACGGACCGCAACCGTATTTCATTTGCTATTGCATCCAATACATTTTCTGCATATTCCAGCTATTTCATATTCTAAGTCAGTATTCC